TTAAAGAACCAAGAGCTTTCACCCGTTTAGTGTACATAACTCTGCTTTAAAAAAAAAGAAAATTAAGTACTGTTCTGTGCACATCACCCATATCTTTGTTTTTTTACTGCTGTCTTGCATTCTACTACAGGACATGCTGACACATCTGCAGTTTGTCCCAGATCCCACATCATAACCAGGAAGGACAATGCAAATAACTCCTTTTTGAATCTTCATGTGCCATATTGTCAGCTGGACATCTTGGAGGAGCTAAATGTGCTCTTATCCTGTACCTTGATGGCAGTCAGCTTGTAGTTGACTTTAAAATGAGGTTTATACAGATGAATTCTGGAGAGTTCCAAGCTCTTTTAGCTACATTTTCACTTTCCATTGGAAATGTGGAGAATGTTTAAGTGAACTTAACTAATTGATCCCTGGGGCCTGTTCTTTTGTATGTCATTAACTCTGTTAGTTGGATTTGATTGTTGACGATTTGGCATGATCTTGGATTATTTGGTTCTTCGAAGCTCATCCTGGACTTGCTGTCATAGCAACAGGTCCATAAACTTAAACCTGCTTGGGAGCAGGCTTATTTCATGTAAAAATGAGATGGCATCATTTTAAGTGGAATTGATATTGAAAATCTATCCCAGCCACTGCTGCTTTATTACAAGAGTACCTCGCTAATCCGGGGACAATGATTGTAAAATTATAATAATTAAATGAATTTTAAAATATAAGGTGTAATCTATAATACTATGGACAGACAGTTTTACTCATTGAAAGATTTTTTTTCGTGATAATTACTTTTATAATTGTATTTGAGTGGTACACGTTATACAGTTAATCAGAGTCGTGCATTAATTTAAGTGACGACGGCTACTATGGGAGTACGTGGCTTGATGAAGTGCAGGAGACGCAGATAACTTGATCTTGACCCTTAAACTTTAATACTGTCACATAAATGTAGTGAATCAGCTCATGGGGTAATATGAATTAATCATAACTAGTTATAAATATTTAGCTCCGCTGTAAATATTTACTTGACCTCTCAGGGTCAACTGTCTGTCAATTCTAAGAGCGTTAATTTCCTGGTTAAGGGAAATAACTTTCTTACTGTACAATTCTACACGGAACTTGTAGCAAATCTGCATGATTAAGTGATTCAAGTTATGAGCAAACAATGAACAATGTCAGGTGTGACAAGTAAGACTTTATTAACTAAATAAACACTTAAACTGGTCTAACATACGCATACAATTTGTATAGGAAAGGGTTAAAGCTTAAGAGAAGAGAAATAAGAATATGAAACGATGGTACTATTTGATATTCAGCAGATGTACAGCCTGAAGGAAACATCAGATTCTTAGTTCAAACACACCTTTGTAAAAAGGTGCAAATGATACCTAATGTGTCAATTAAGACTAAATTTGAATACTTGCACATCTCATCTGTCTGAAAGGAGGTTTGATGCAATCTGAAGGTCCCAGTTGATCTTTGCTGAAGTTGGTTGATGGAAAAAGAACCAGTCAGAGTCTTGGTGAATGGAAAAGTCAAGGCCGAAGCCTGGCACGTACTTAAGGGGTTGCAGAAGCGTTCTAGCTCATGTCTTCATCTTAGAATCTAACCGAACCACCGACTCTGGGCAGGTCACATGGTGTGAGGCCTTTAAGGTTGGAGAAGATTCCCGCCTCTCAAGATGGGCTTGTCCAATGAGAAAGGCCGGAATAAGCATGCATAAAATAGTCTAAAAATATCAAAGACAACATACACAATGACCTGAAGGATATGGATGTTCATTCAAAGAAAGGTTTTCCTATGAATTAATTAGTAGAAAAGTCCATTTCTACTGTGCTTTGTGCCTCTTGCTATGGAACATGCAGTGATTTTTCCCTGCTTCGCATTCCTTTAGGCAATAAACCCAGTGATATCAACGTTGGTTGCCATGGAATCAGAGGCCTGTTCTGCCCTCCTGAGGTGTTACGCATTTCGGGGGAAGGGTCCATAGGTTCTCATATGGCTTGTTCACTGAGGGGGGTTTCACAGGATTTGTTAAATATAGATAACAAAATATATATTGTGTGTTTGATTGGTCCAGACGCTACAAAATTGCCATTCAAGAGGCACTAAAGACGTGCCACTTTAAACCTCGATTATTCCCAGTCATGCAACACAAATATTAGTGTGATGCTTTGAGCCAGCTCTCAGCTGTGCGTTTTATTTCCCTTCACTGCTGAGAGATACTTAAGCAAATCCCACAGATTGCAGGATCCGTGGGTTTGGTATAGGGGTTCGTCAAAATGCGCTTAAGCACGAATTCACTCGATCCAGGAAAGAGTTTCCCATTTAATGCGCAAGCGGCGCGTGCAAATAACACGTTCAGAACATTTTACTCAGAACTCTGCAAGATGACAAGATTATGAAAGAAGGTTCAATGTCAATTATTTAAAATAACTGATTTCATCTGCCCTCCTGAGGTGTTACGCATTTCGGGGGAAGGGTCCATAGGTTCTCATATGGCTTGTTAACTGAGGGGTGTTTCAGAGTATTTGTTAAATATAGCTAACAAAATATATATTGTGTTTTATTGGTCCAGACGCTACATAAATCTGCTTCAAAGATAAAATTACATGAATTGCTAATTACAACATTGAAATAAAAATGTAAAGCCTGTACAAACAAATTGTGAATTAAAAAATTGGGAATCATGTAAAAAAAAAAACCATGCACTATTCATTTATCTATTATAAATTTTTTGTAGTTCACGTGCCTGTTTACAAAATCGCGTTCTTAATCGCAGGATTATGAAATTGTTCTACGATTTATGAAAGCTGTTTGCGTAGCTTCTCTGTGCAATCTAGCTGTGTAGTAAATGCTGCTCCATTTGAAAGCACGTGAGAACCACATTTAATGTTTTTACTCCAAACACTCGACTGACGTTATGAAGTGTATTTGAAGTAAATCCTTCTGTAAGATGATGTGGCTTCTTGCACCGAGTAAGGTGCGCAACATAATTCATAGTATTCGAAGCAGTGACAAAGGCTATGTCAATTAGCATTGCATTATTATAATATTAAAGTGTATATAATAAGACTAACTCGGATAAACCATATATTGTCGTAGTCGTGTGTTTATTAGTCGCACTGAATGAAAGCAGTAAAATCTGTTTATTCAGGATTTCCTGGATTTTTTTTTTTTTTTTTTTTCCTGCGGGGTGTATTTGGAGTTTCAGCTTGAGAGTGCCTTCTGGCCTTTGGATGGAGATTTACCACTGATCACAGAACCCTGCTTCACTGAAAGATACGCATGACGATCGCAGCTTCTGCCTAATTGCGATTTATTGCCTTTGTGATTAATTTCTATTAATTGTGCAGCCCTATTTCAAATAATCTCTGATGTATTAAGCAAGGTATGAAGAACGGGCCCCAGAACTATGACTTCTAAATTTAGCAGGTTACAACCACATTATGGATAATACAGCCATGGGTCAATACAGCCTTTGATCAACCGACGTTAGGTGTAGTAATTGGTAAGGAGCAGAGCAGAAGGCAGTGTCAGTCACCTGCAGGTGCATATCAAAAGCCAGTTATGCTTGGTTATGTAGGGGTGTAAAATTACGTAACGAGTCTTTAGCAATGTGCACTTACAAAAAGCTTTAGGGATGGCTGGTCACTGGTGCATTGAATTTAATAAGTCAATATTAACAATGTTAAACTCTTTATTTATTTCTCTTTTCCAGACTACGTTGCTTGCAAGGTTCTCCACATTTTTGCTGCACTGCTTGTTTTAGTCTGACAAGGCTTAGGGAAAACCCTTTTAAAAACTCCCTTTTTTTTTTTTTTTTTTTTTCCCCCCCTCTCTTCTCTCCGTGTGGTTGTAATTTTGTTAAACTTTACCTTTTGTGTTTTTTATTTTATTTTTTTATTTATATATATATGGTTGCATTTTGTTTTGGTACTCTTTGCAGGTAAAGTTAATGTTGCTTTAATTACTTTAATGCAGAAATGTTCTATGACCTACTGGTTGTGTTTTTGTTCACTTGAAGTATAAAAACTAATCCAGAAGTGTCAGCCTGTCATGTGAAGCTCTCCTTGTGTTGGTGAACAAACCTCTGTGAAGACCTGACGGTCTACCAGCAAATGTTCTTGGAACAAGGGTGCAGAAAAGGCACAATATTGTTGTTCCTTGACTACACTAATATTAATGCTTTCTAGGCACATTGCTGTTTGTCCCCTGGATTATTCCTAATGAACATGCAGGCAGTCATGTAGATCTTGTAGCCCCCCCCCCATTCCAATTCCCCGCTGTCTGGCAATTACAGAGTCCTAATGCTGGATTTATTCCAGATGTTGCACATCCTAGGTTTGACTGACCAGGACTTGACAAGAGGACACAAACGGCAGGTTTCATTATAATTTCTTCAGTAATCACCAAAATCTATTATGTATATGCAACAATCTTTTGATTTTCATGTAGTTAACATCAGCCTGACAACATCAACTTAACATTTACTTTGTCTCCTAGGTGAGGTAGAGTTGGATGTGCTGTTGTCCTGTTCTTTGATTTTACACCACCTTCCCCACCCAACTGTCCTCATCACGGACAACTTCAGCACTTATCCAGGTAAGTCTCAATCCTATTGAGTTCTTCTCGCCTCATTTGATCTCTGGGAATGTGGAGAGCTTTCTTCAGGAAATTGTCAACTGCTTGAATGTCCGCTTTGGCTTGTCTAAATTTGTGCATATTGTTTTCTTTTCTTGGTTGAGCCATGTTCCCCACCAGCCTTTGATTAACCAATTTTGTGTATTTGGTGCGGAGCAGAACCAAAAAACTAAGCAGCCGCTTGGAGCCCCCGTGGCCACCAGGGGGCCCCCAAGAGCACTTAAATTTTTTTTTTATATCTATTGTTAATGGACAAATGGTTGATGGTAATTATGCAAAAATGCAATATTAAATCAAAGGTAAATATTATACTAATGGGCTGCAGCTGGATGCAAGCACAGTCAAAGGCCGCAGCATTGCAGCAAAACTGTCAAAGGACCTCCTGGTTCAGAGAATAAAAAGAGGAAACGAAAACGGCAAGATAAAGGTATGTTAAGAGTTCAAGTAAACCAATCAAGGCTGTTGTGAGTTAATGTCAGTTGGTTAGTTAACCTAGGTAGCTTTTTTTTTTTTTTTTTTTCAAAAAGGAAAGTTTGTTTTATTAAACATGCGTAAATAGCCTTTTGACATCTTAATATAATACAACATATTACTTGTCTAGTTTTAGATAATTTTTGTAATAAGCTTCTGTTCCATGAACTTGGGGTCTTTGCTATTAGGGGGCAGTCGTGGCCTAATGGCTAGAGTGTCGGACTTGTAACCCAGAGGTTGTGGGTTTGAGTCTCATGTCCGGCAGGAATTGTCGGGGGGAGTGAATAACCAGCGCACTCTTCCACCCTCAATACCACGACTGAGGTGAGACTCTTGAGCAAGGCACGGAACCCCCAACTGCTCTTCGGGCGCCGCAGCAAAATGGCTGCCTATTGCTCAGGGTGTGTTTTCATGGTGTGTGTGTGTGTGTGCACTTGGGTGGGTTAAACGCAGAGCACAAATTCCGAGTATGGGTCACCATACTTGGCCACACTTCACTTCTATTCCGCTATCATAGTACCTCACTTAGCTATAGATTAAGATTTTGTGTGTACAGATGGCTTGCTGTGTTTAATTTGTTGTTACAATACCATTCTGTTCCATTAACTATATTCTTATGAACATCCCCCTAGGAGCTCTGTTGAAATCTTTTGGAGGTGGGGCACAACCAATGCCGCCAGCCCCAATTGCTAGTGCTACAGCTGATGATACAGCAGGTGAGTTTTCAACAATCAATATAGTTATATGGGTAACCCATACCTTTTTGTGAGGCGTTTTATTTTTTATTTATGTAACTGTTGCATTACCTTCTAATATGACACAACATTGCTAACTTTTATTATAATTTATTTTATTATGATTTATTATCTTTCATTAGGTCCATCCTCTGCAGGTGAGGAGCACTTACCAGCACCTGCATCCACTGAGCCTGCTTTTCCTTCCATGTCTATTTCAGCCTCAACAGATGTGGCAGGTAATTTAATAGCACAGCAGCCATTGTATTTGTTCATTTTGTATTGTATTTGTTATTTATATAGAATATCATGCTATTTAATATTTCTAATTGTTAATGTAATTTTTTTTTATAGGTCATTCTATTTGTGGTCATTGGTGTCAATGTCACATGTACTCCCTTAGCAACTTTTAGCCTACACTATGGATCAACAGCTCCTCCAGTTGACCAGCTGAGTGGTCATCTATCATGTCCGACTCATAAAGGACTGATCTGGTAAGCAGAGGGCCACTTCCTATAAAGAAAACTTCACATTCTCTAAAAAACCTGATGGCCGACGCTTCCACTAACGCAATCATTGCAAGTCTTACTGGTATTGAGTAATAGAACTTTGAACGCACTGAAAAAGGAAAAGTTTCAACCTTTTAAAAACTTTTATTTTTTATTTTTATGAGTGGTCCCAGTTAACCCTCAAAAACAGTGTACTCAGTGGAACGTTAACGGGTGAACTTGTTTACAGTAAATGCATTGTCTGCTGGTTTATTTAGCTACTTTTCAGTGCACCACATTAAGCGTGACACTTAATACTGTAAGACTTTGAATGTTAAAGTGCAAATTAACACCTGACCACTCTTGTGGGTTTAGTATTGTTACAATTAAACCGTAGAAGGGTAAAATGCAAGGCAGACATTGGTATGATGTAAGCAACATGGCTACAACAAATGAAATTGATTAATGGGTGTGTTAGATTTATAGTGTGTGAATAAGCATTGACAGTCAATCGTATTGGTGGCACTGAGAGGTCCCCAAATAAAATTCTGCTTTGGGGGGGGGGGGGGGGTCCAAAAAGGCTTGGGTTGGCCTTGACTGGTGCTATAACGAGAATGCATTCTCTGTTTCTGGCCCCAGTGTTCTCACACGTTTCAGTAGTAGTAGTAGTGGTGGTGGTGGTGTTCTCACAACTGCTGGATGTGGAACGGTTCTTTTGAATGTGCAGTCTTTCTCTTCTTGCAGTCTTCGTCCTTCAAATGTTTCACGTAAGGGCACTTGAGCAGTGTTTGTTTGTAAACTCAATTTTATCTTTGTGTGCTTAATCCTTAAATTTGAAAGGAATTCAAAGCATGGTTCTTTCAACAGTAAGGTTAAGAAACGGTCGCCCAGTTCAGTGTCCCCATATTTTACAGCATTTTCATCTTACGTGTTCAATAACTTGAATTAAAGTTCTCCTTTTCCTCATCCAGCTAAAGCTCTTGAATTGTTTTGGTTTACAGTTTGAGTGATGTAAGAACAAGGTTTTATTTGTCTGCTTTATGCATTTTTGAATGCATTTCATTTGACTGGCAATTTGAGTTATTTTTGGCTTTTTTTTTTTTTAATTTCTGCTTGACTGCCGCTTTGTGGCCAATTTGAGACCGCAGAATCATATGCTTTGTCCATGATTCAGTATTTAAAAAAAAAAAACTACTTGTTTCAAAATGTTAGACATTTACCTTAAGTTGTAAGAAGTGTCCAGTTTCAAACTGAGTTTATATATTTTTATACAAATGGGTAATTTGCGATGCACTTGACTTTTGGCTTTCACATTTGTACAATCTCAACTCTTGTTGAACAAACTCTTTGTTCCGCTTATGCGTCATGTAATATTTCATTATCCTTTTAGATCCTTTTCGGTAAAGAAAATGCTGCATCAAACCTGGCAATCAGATTTGCACTTCATGCAGTTCCAATGTGAAGTCTTTTGACTAAAGTCTAGTGGTTGTTTACAATCTCTTTGCCATTTCCAAGGGTTTGACACGTAAAACCAAAAACTTGCAGTGTAACTGTTTAGGTTTCATTTGTCAGGTTACAACAGAAATCAAACTTGAACTATTTACATTTTTCCAAGCTTCAAATTAAATTGTTTTGTTTTATTGTCCTGCTAGTCTCAAATGTTTTAACAGATTTTATGGGGACTCCACATTTATGCTGCTTGTGTTTGAAGCCTTTCTCTTGTATACCTTGTCTTGCATTTGAGTCCCATTTGTGCAAGTCAAATTCTTTTTCGTACAGTTTTCAACGGTACATCAGCTTTGTACATAAGCCATTTGTATTTATACTGCTTTGTTTGGTATTTGTGCCCCATCGGCCCATGCCCTTTTTTTATATACTGTTTCCCCTGTAGTTTGCTTGCCACTTTAGTGACTTTTGACCTTTTGCATTTACATGTTTTATTTTGCCCCTTTCTGTTCATGCCTTTTTATGCACCTTTGTGCCCTTTTACATATGCAATTTGTCTGTCATTAGGGTTATTCCCTAAATTTATTATTACATTTTGAACTTTGTCCTTGGTCAGGGACTTGTGCCCTTACAGCATTAACATTTATTCAGAAGCCTTAGTCGGTTAAGATCTAACTTGAAGATTTTAATCTACCAGTACAAATCTATCAACTGAGGCTGTATATAAGACTATTATATACTGTCTGCTCTGTTCCCCAACTTTCTTGTGGATCTCTCACCAGAAACGGAGAAGTGTTGGATAACTGTTTTTTTTCTCTAATAGTTGGATACGCATTCTGTGCAAAATGCTTTAGAATTTAATGTAGTTAGCAACCTTAACTTGACATTTGCGATGTGTCCCATTTCAGTTGTGCAGCTTAGAGTTAGGTGTTTTCCTTCAGTTCTGTTCTCTGATGGCAGCTCATTTGTCGGACAACTTCAGCACTCACCTAGATAAGTGTCTTCTCCTGATTGCCAAGCTTTAAAGCCTTTATTTACGGTTTGACCATTTGCAAGTGTGGAGTGCTTTCACAGTAAACCAACTGTCCAAAGTATTTCTAAGATGGTGCCAGTGTACATGGTTTGTTATATCTGTGCTGTTTGTATTGTGCATGTCACACTGGTATCATGCAGTCTCAGTGCTGACCTACAATCACCAGGCTTTTGCTCAAATTATGTGGGAGTTTACAGTAGATTTTGTCCTTTTCTTGTTCTCAATTCTTGTTTAACCAACCCGTGGTGGAGTGTGCTTGGCAGCTACCTTGTTGCGTTCCTTCCCTAAGGAGGTGCCGCAGGAAGTGAGGTAGTGGTGGTGTCCTGCTGAGAATTGGATGGGCAATTGTTTTTTCCATACAATCTTCGAAGAGTTTCCATTGGAAATATAAATTGATTGATTACTTGTTACTTTTGTCTCTAGACCCTTGTGTGTCTGCGCTCATGTTTTTTTGCAGTTGTGCTGTCTTTATGGTGCTTGTCTGGTTTGGGGTTTTTAATACCCGTTTGTATTCATATGTTTTATATACTGTGTGTGTGCGCACTTATTTTATTTATATAGATCTCACAGTGACACCTCCTCATCAGCACTCATTATAAAGACACACACAAACTGCACTCCTTTGTCTGTTCTCATCATTCCTAAACTAAAAGAGACCTTACCTGCTACTCATCTGTATGCTCGCCTACCCTCCAGGATCTTGTCTTCAGTCATCTGCTACCTGGCCTCTGAGTGTTCGTTCCTGGATCTGCAAGATAGACATTCAGTTACTATTCAGCTAAGTCATAGCAAGCTCCATTGAGCTGCCGTACCTAATGTTGCTTCTTTCTCCCTTTTAAACAGAAGAACAAAAAAAATAATCAATAGAGGTACATTTACTGCACTTAAATGTTTTTTTGTAAGTGTAAAAAGGTTAGGGCCGTAAACAAGAAAAGGCAGCACAAGTAAAGCACAGATTTATTAAAAACTTTCATAAAAACAGAGGCTTAAGCACAGGTGAGTGGGACTGGGAAATAAAATAGGCCTGGGGGGGGGAATAAAAATTTGTAGATACAAAATGAGAACTTGCACTCAACAGACTAAAAGCAGAAGGACATTAAACATTAAAAAGGCCATAAGACAAATTAAACCGCATTGTCACGTAACTTATTTATATAACACTTTATACAATACTGATTGTGTCAAAGCACCTTTACAGTGTTAAACAAGAAAATAGCTGGTCAATGCAAGAGGACAATAACAGCATAACATTCCAGCTAAAGTCTAAACCTAATTAACGCAGCATAACAATAATGGATTGGAATGATAGAATTGCAATATTGTACTGCGTGTGTGTGTATGCCAAGCTAAAGAGATGGGTCTTTAATGTACATTTAAGGTCTTTATACCTTTTTAATTTGTCACTTATTGTATGTTGATTTTGTTCTCCATGCTTTTAGCGGCACTCCTTTGTCTGTTCTCATCATTCCTAAACTAAAAGAGACCTTACCTGCTACTCATCTGTATGCTCGCCTACCCTCCAGGATCTTGTCTTCAGTCATCTGCTACCTGGCCTCTGAGTGTTCGTTCCTGGATCTGCAAGATAGACATTCAGTTACTATTCAGCTAAGTCATAGCAAGCTCCATTGAGCTGCCGTACCTAATGTTGCTTCTTTCTCCCTTTTAAACAGAAGAACAAAAAAAATAATCAATAGAGGTACATTTACTGCACTTAAATGTTTTTTTGTAAGTGTAAAAAGGTTAGGGCCGTAAACAAGAAAAGGCAGCACAAGTAAAGCACAGATTTATTAAAAACTTTCATAAAAACAGAGGCTTAAGCACAGGTGAGTGGGACTGGGAAATAAAATAGGCCTGGGGGGGGGAATAAAAATTTGTAGATACAAAATGAGAACTTGCACTCAACAGACTAAAAGCAGAAGGACATTAAACATTAAAAAGGCCATAAGACAAATTAAACCGCATTGTCACGTAACTTATTTATATAACACTTTATACAATACTGATTGTGTCAAAGCACCTTTACAGTGTTAAACAAGAAAATAGCTGGTCAATGCAAGAGGACAATAACAGCATAACATTCCAGCTAAAGTCTAAACCTAATTAACGCAGCATAACAATAATGGATTGGAATGATAGAATTGCAATATTGTACTGCGTGTGTGTGTATGCCAAGCTAAAGAGATGGGTCTTTAATGTACATTTAAGGTCTTTATACCTTTTTA